GTGGTGAGACAGGAAGCTAGAGAGCAGCTRGGGACTAACTGGGGTCTGATGAGAAGTACAAGAACTACATTAATCCCTTCCAAGGGCTTAAGGACTCCCTGCAGGCCCTGTCTCTTTAAGGTCCCACCATCACACTGAGGACCAACCCTCCAACACCTGGGCCCTTGGACAAATCACATCCAGGCCACCGTAGTAATCGAGGATGGAAGTCGGGATATGACCACCTCAGAGAAGGCCACGCAGAGGACTCATGAGTCCACTCTTGACTCACTGAGTAGAGACACAGCAGTGTTGGACAGCTGCAGGTGGGCAGTGGGGTGGGGCAGTGATGGGGACCAAGGAGGAGGAGTGCCCTGGGCATTGTCTGGACAGGATGATGAGGGTTCTGGGATCTCCCACAGTACCCTTTTTAAAAGTATGAATCTTTTCTTCTCAGCATAAAGGCAATGTGTTATAGTGCAGGCACACTGGAAAATGCAAAAGTAAGATTCATAAGGTTCATGAGGTTCTTTCTCCACTCTCCTTCCCATGGAGGACATATATGGGCATGGCAGATGATTTCGGTCTCCTTCCCTTCTTTTTAAAGACAATGAGATCATGGAGCACAAAGGGTTTTCATAACCCACCGTGTGGTTCCATGTCCTTAAAAACTCCAGACGTAAACATTTAAAATATATATTAATTTTATAGATAAAGATAGGATTTAATTTCATTTGATCCGCATGACCTTCATTACTAGTGAAATTGAACATTTGCTCGTAGGTTTATCAATCGTTTGTATTTCTTGTTTTACGAATTCTTTGGATGTTGCTTGTCTATTTTTTCCACTGGGTTATCAGTCCTTTTCTTATTCACTTAAAAAGTACTTATCTATTAAGAATCCAAACACTTTTTTTCACATATCTTGCAAATATTTACCCCAAGTTTATTGTCTTTGAATTTCATTTGGCTTTTTTTCTCCATATACAAGATTCAAAATTCTATCTAGTTAGATTATATCAATCTCTTCCTTCATGCCATTTACTGCTGACAGTTTGGTATGTAGTTTTCCAGACATTTGCTATGCATATGCAAATATATCTATAAATATATATATATAGAAGGAGATAGTTATATATGTAAAGTTTCCCTGCACATTTGAGATGTCATATCCACTCTTCTGCAACTTGCTTCTTTCATGCACTAGCATATTACATACATTTCCCCTTATTAATATATAAAGATCTCATTCCAACAGTATTCCCTTGAATGAATTCAATATTTTATTATGTTCTTTAAGCCAGTTTTTAAACATTGTTTTTCATGTACACACTTAAATATGGAAGTTTTCTGGGGTTTGAAAGAAACAAAAACCTAAGTTTATTCATTCCGTGTAGTGAGTCAATAGTCCCAATGGCATTTATAAAACAATCTGTCCTTTCCCTCTGACTTGAAATAACTTTGTCTTATATTAAATATCATATATAAAATGGTAACTATCATATATTAAATATATATACTGAAATTTTGAGTTTTTCCTCAATATTTTTCTTTCTTCTTTTATTTATTCCTCAATCAATGCCACATTTTTCTAATTATTATAGCTTTAAAATATATTTTAATACCTATAAAATCAATTCCATTCCCTGTCTCATCTTCTTCAATATTACCTTTTTCAATATTACCAATTTTTCCTTTTGTTTGTTTATTTTATTTTGCATTTAATTATGGGCCTTGGAATCATTTTTTAAATTCCCAAAACATCTAACTTGGGATTTAGATTGTGAATGTGTTCAATTAATAAAGTTTTATTGACACTTTTACCAAACATTTCAGTTTAAAAGCAGAGTGTGTATCTCTCCATCTACTGAATTTTTCTTCTTATGTGCACCAGTAACATTTTGTTTTCTTTGTATCATGCTTATTTTGAGATTTTTTTTGCATTTTTTATTATAAAATTACATTGAAAGTGAGATTTTTAATGTATGTTTTATGACTTATTAAGATAGAGGAAGCGTTGGTTTTTGTATGCATTTGGTAACAGCTTACTTTACTGAATATTATTCTAGTTGTTTTCAGTTTTTTCATGAATTCCTTATATTGAAAACCATGTAATTTGCAAAAACAAAATTGGGGAAAAGGAAGGATAGATGGTTTGATTCCTTCTTCTACTGTATTTATACTCTTTTTCTTTTTATTGTTTATTGTTTGAGCTAAAACAAATTCTGGGTTGAATCAAAGATACAGTTTTCTCCTTCGGGGAGTCCACAGAGATCAGACACACATCCTAATATTTTCTTCTCCTTCTCTTTCTCTTCCAAGTTCTTAGGAATTTTCTCAGGTTTATCTTCACATTCTCTGATTTAACTTACTATGGCATCTAATATGTGGTTCCTTGTCCTTTTGGATTTTAACATTCAACGATCAGCATTTGCATCCCTAGACTCTGGAAAGCTGCCAGTGATCCCAATGGTCACAGCCAAGGTTCTTTCTGGGTCATCACCCCCAACTGTCATGGCGGCCATATTGACACCACCTCCCACCCCCCATCCTTGAACCCAGGACTTCAGGCTCCCCTGGGTTCCCTCCGGACTCTCTTCCCCTCCCCACCCCTTCAGTTCTCCCTCCACAAGTTCTCTCTGAAGGATGCTGTCCATCCCCAGATCCAGTGCCTGTTTGCCAAGTCTAGAGAGAGCTCCAACCTCATCACTCCACTGAAAGGACACCGGCCTGTGCGTTCCAACACCAAACCCACAGGCTCGGCTTCTCCAGCTTTCTACTCCTGGTGTCCATGGTGCCATTGTCCTCTAGCTGCCCAATAAAACCTGAGTCGTCCTGAGCTTCTCCCTCTCCGGCATCTCTGGCCGGTCACCGCATGCTGCTGTTTCTGCGGTATCAATGTCTTACCAATCTCTTTATCGCTGTTGCTAGTGTTTGAATGACAGTCCGTCTCACTTTTTTCAGAGTATTGCAGGGATCTTTTTGTCTTTGACTCTGTCCTCACTGTGCCTCTCCAAAACACACATTGAATCATGTCGCTTGTCTGCTCCTACCTTCTCAGTGGGTCCTGCTACACCATGCATTCTGAGTGCCTTGGGACATAGAAAGCTGTCTATCAAGTGGCCCCAGTGCTGTCTTTAGCTTGTCACCCATCATACCTTCCCAGATGCCCTAGGTCCCAGCTGTTCCCCAGATGTCCCCTAGGCGTCCCCATGCCTTTGCACATGCCACTCCCTTTGCCGACAGAGGGCTTATCCTGACCTTTACCTGCTCATCCTTCAAGATCAAGCTCAGAGACAACCCTGTGCAGCCCTCTGGGTTCCTGAGGTCCAGAGGTCCGGGCTCCCTCCCTGCGGTTCCCTCTGTACTTGGGCACCTGGAACAAGGTAGAGAAGTTGCATATGTGTCCATCCAGGTCAAAAGGAGGGCCAGCAACCCCTGGTCATCCATCTCCTTGCCCTCTCCTCCCCCTACTCCCCCCACTCACAAGTCTAAGCCCCCACCCAGGTTCAATCCCACCCACACTGTGCATGCTGCACCTGACCAGCCACACGGCACACGACCCTGCCGAGCTGGACTGCCCAGGGACCCAGCTCCATGCCTGCAGTGTATTCCTTCTCTCACTTTCTGAAACGACTACTTAATGCTTCTTCTCTATCCCTCAGTGTCCTACAACCCTTTTCCTGATGCCCTTGCCTCTAATTCATTGAAAACTAGAAGCAATCGAGAGACAAATGTCCTCGCCCCTGACCACACCTTCCAACTCTGTTGCCTCAGAACCGTGCCCCCTGCTCCTCCCAGAGACCAGGCCCTGCCCTTTGCTCTGTTCCTGTCCCCTCCCACCTTCCTCTGGCCTTGGCCTGGCGACAGCTGTCTTCTTCCTCTCTGCCATGGGCACCTGCTCTCCTGCAGATCATTTCCTTGGGCTTACACACATTCTGGCTACCATCCGCCGCTGTAAAGAAGCCTCCTGGCTCTTCCTTCCTCTCCAGGCACAGCCTTCCCGCGTCCCACCGTCCCACACCCAAGTTCCCTCTCCCGGCTCACCTCGGCCTCTTCCTCCTCCGCGAAGCTTGTCTTGCCAACATAATGGTGATCTCCACGCTGTCACATCCGCACCCTCCTCCTGCTCTACGTCTCAGCCCCCTTCAGCCGGGCTGGCCCCTTTCTCCTTCTAGAAACACCTTCCGTGTGGGCTCCCATGACACCTGCTCTCCAGGTGCCCACACGTCTAAAAAGGAAAATCAAGGTCCAGCGTTGCCCTTCCCAGAACCCTCCTGGGGTTCTGCTGTACTTCCAGTCGACTCCCACTCTGACCCCAGCCCAAAACCTGCTGGGCCTGGCCCCTGGCACCCRCCACCCCACCCTGTCGTCCTCTACCGCTGGCTGCAGTGACCTTCTTCCTGTTCCCACCGGAATACCTGGAGCAGCTCCTGCCTCTTCCCRGAGGCCCGTTTCCACTTGTCCCACCCAATTTCACCTCCATCTCAGCTGGACACYTTCTTACCTGTTGATTTTTATTATCTGTGTCTTAGAAGAAAAGCTCCCTGGAAGCGTGGAGCATACCATCCATCCATGCTCCCCTGGCCTCTTGGCACCTGGAGTAGTGTCTATTGGGGACAGAGAGGGTGTGCTGCTGAAGTTGGTTGGAGGGTGGAATGAAGGTGTCTGTTGACTTGCTCCAACTGTACCCRAAGCTCCTGGAGGGTGGGTGCCCTGCTTTAGGTTCCACTGTTTCCTGCAAGATGCTGGGGACCTCCTTATAAATAGGCCTCCTTGGACTTATTTCTTCATCAAGGGAAAGCCAACAGGCTCCGGGGTCTACTTCATAACCTGCATTTCTCTGAGAATAAACACAATGAGGGGGATGTCATGAGACCAAGGACCAAGTGGGGAGGAGGGCTAAGGGCTGGCCAGCCCTCATCAGCTGGAATGGGGGTAAGGGAGCACCCCCCCCCCCCAGGGATTCTCAACAACCTGGCCCTGGTGCTACGTCACCTTCTGGTGTGTGTGTGTTACAGGGTGCAACCTACACCTTGATGATGGTGGATCCCGATGCTCCCAGCAGGTCAGAGCCCACCAAGAAATACTGGAGACATTGGCTGGTGACCGATATCAAGGTAAGCAGGCCAAGAGGCATTTTGGGACCTGTTTGGAAGACTATCATTCTGTGCAGACTCTCCTTTAGAGGGGGACGAGGTCAAGCGAGGAGGGTCATGTCAGATGGCCCCCAGCACTCAGCTGTCAGCTTCTCCCAAGTTCACAGGGATTTAAAAAGAAGTCCAAGGACTAGCGATGGCTGCACCAGGACACTGAGTTCTCAGCACAGAGCAGGAGAAAGCCCCGATATCTAGAGTTGGTTGATTTTTKTGGCCTAGGTAGTCCCATCGCAGGCAATTTCAAGTCACCAGCAACGTCTGAGAACACGATGGTTGGCGCCAGCACATCAGTGGATCTGGGGGCCCTGGTGCGATTCCTGAAATCCAGCTGGCAGTCCTGGCGGTGGGAGGGGGTGCGGGGGTCCTCCTGCTGGGCAAGGGGCGTGGAGAAGCAGGGTGACTGCCCTTTCTTGTGCAGAAACAAACGACACCTTCCCATCTGACGGTGAAGGAGCCTGGCTCGCCGTTTCCAGGGCAGGTCTCAGCCCCTTTTGAGGGGCTTCTGGGGAGGGGGAGGCTCCATTGCCAAGCAAGCCTTTGATACTCTGGGTTAAATGGAATGAACCCCATTCCTCACCCGATGGCCTTCTAGAATTTCTATTGTCCTCATATACACAACAGTCATCCCTTGGTGCCCTCGGGGATTGGGGTACCAGGACCCCCTCCCACCATAGGTACCCAAATCTACAGGTGCTCAAGTCCTGGATATAAAATGGTGTAGGATTTGCATCGAGCCTATGCAGTCCTCCAATAGACTTTAAATAAGTTCTAGATGATTTATAATACCCGATACAACCTATATGCTATGCCAATAGCTGTTATACTGTATTGTTTAAGGAATAATGGCAAGAAAACAGTCTATGTGTTTGGATTCAATTACGTGTGTGTGTGTGTGTGTGTGTGTGTGTGTGTGTGTGCAGATAGTGATCAATATAGATAGATACATTTTCAATTCTCAGTTGGTTGAATCTGAGGAAATGGAACCCACAGGTACAGAAGACCAGCTGTATATCATATGCATTTATTTCTCAACCTCATGAAATTAGAAAATCCTTTGTTCACAAGCGCCTGGCCATGTCATGTGGGGCATTCCACACGAGCCTATGGTGTTCACAGATCTGTGCCTGGGAATCCTGCGGGTGGCTTTTGAGAAGAGTGTGTGATGTCCTCAGACCCTGTAAGGTCGTGGGAGCCCAGAGCTAGGAAGCCTAAGTTTGGATCCAGTTTGGTCTCGGCTGACTACCAGCTCTGTGACCCTGGGAGCCCGTCTGGCATTCCTGGTTTTGTCTATGATGCAGGAGTCATGGTATTGATTCCACAGGGTCATTGTGATGATGGGTGAGATGGCCCCCTGAGAGCACCCTGGAAAATGCAGAGAAACCCACAGACCACAAGGGCTTGTGTTTTCCTGCCGCAGCTATGGACAGAGGAAGGGGCATCCGTATAACTAAGTATTGACTCCCGAGCAAGACACCAGAGTGGGGACCAGGAGTGGGCAGTTAGCCTGGCCACCAACCCCAGCCCCGCAACCAGGCCCCTTCCTAGGAAGCTCAGGGGGCAGCCCTCCTTGGGGGCAGACTGACTGATGCCCAAAGGGCTCCCTCAAGGACTCCCCAGTAGCAGCTTCTTGGGCAGGGCCCAGCTGCCTCCCAAGGCCCTTCCCTGGCCAGGTGTTCCTCTCTGGAAACACTGCAGGGGGGCAGCTGGGGTGGGGCCACACCACGGGGATGGTGGGGAGCAGAGGACTCAAAAGGGGAAGCTGTCCCCGTCTAGAGCACTGCTGTTTTCTGGGTGCTGGTGACGTTGGCAAAGGGTGGTGGGTCAAGAGCAGCACCTGCCCCAAAGGTCAAGTTCACTGCCTGCACACTCAGGCGCACAGGGCTTCCTGCAAGAGGGTTCCACTCGGTGATTCTGAAGCTGGAGAGCAGACGCAGCCTCAGACGGGATGGTTTCGGAGCCGAGGGGCCATGGGACCATGACGCGGCCTCTCTTCAAAGCCCTCAGCCCCCCTCCCACCCTGCCACCCCCCTCACCCCAGTCCTCACTGGGGACACATTTCCCACAGGAGCCTGTGCCACAGATGTGCTTAGCCCCAGCAGCTCAGTTTAGAGGCCAAGCAGGTGGCAGGTGACAGGTGGCAGCTGTCAGGCAAGACTGCTAAGCCGCAGAGCTTAACCAGGGCCACCTGCCCGGGTGCAGCCCTCGACTTCCCGACGGGCCAGCTGGAGGAGGCTCTGGTTTCAGTCACCTTTTCACCCACTGTCCCGCGTCTGGTGCCCAGCAGGAAGCAGCAGTCCTCCCGGCTGTGTCCACTTGGCCCTGCCCACCTGCCCCCGAATTCCGCCAGCCACAAAGACACTAGAAGCCAAACCCGCTGAGGTCCCGGGTCCTGGACCTGGGCCACAGGCAGCCAGGGCTCTGATCAAATCTGGGAGCACTGCCTGTGCGCTGGTGCTCTCCACRGCCCAGCGGGTCTCGATTGCATGCACTCAATGTGCCGGCAGCTGGTCACCTGCGGCTTCCCGGGCCCTTCGGCGCCAACACGGCCTCCAGGGTGAACGAGCAGCGTGGAGGAAGGCGAGGCGTGGGTGCTGGGAGGCTGAGGCTGTGGGCAACAGGGCCTGTGGTGGACCCATCCTCCAGTGAAAAGCACGCTTGAAACTTGCCAGGTCTCCACCACCATGTAAAGTAGCATTGCCCATCTCATGGATGGGGAAGCACAAGCTGGAGGGCTGGATGATGCAGGCTTTCAACGGGGGGGGGGGGGGGGGGGCGGACTGCAGAGGTGGGGCTTGGGTGCATGCCCCAGACTCCAAACCACGCATGTCTGACGTGCAGGGTGGGGTTGCAACACGTTCTGCCAGCTTCCTTCCATACGTTGGGAAAATCACCTCTGAAGCCCCCCGAGATCCCTCCCAGGGCTCTCTGACTGACTGCTTGGTAGGTAGAAGCTACCCAGAGAGTGCCCCCAGGGTAAATAAAGCACCCCTGGTCAGTGTTTTGAACCCCAGGAAACTACACCCCACCCACCATCATTCCCCAAAGTGTCTCACCAGGAAAGCAAGTGGTGACCTCCCTGCAAGTGACAACAGCTCTGAGAGTCCCCAGGCCACAGAGGCAGACTTGGTGGAATCTGGGCTGGCCTTGAGATGGGGGATGGAGTCTAATTAGATGGTGGACCAGACCATGCCCAGAAACGTCTGTAGCCCCCCAGCTCACCCCAAAGAGAAGCTGGCAGGGTATAGACTAGAGTTAGGATAACTTCCACTCCTGCAGGCCACTTAGATGAAAACCAGGAGCTAGAGAGATGCCCAGCAGTAGGGACCAGGCATTCGCATGGTACCCTTTTGTCACTAATTCAACAAATAAATACATTGAGCAGTATTCAAGGTAGCATAGCGGTTAAGAGCAGTGACTCTGGAGCCAAACTTCTGTGTTTCAAATCCCAAATCCACCATTATTAGCTTTGTGATCTTAGGTTAGTTGCTTGACTTCTCTGTTTCATATACTCCCTTGTAAAATAATAGAGACAGTAATAGTCTCTACTTCACACTGTCAGTGTGAAGCTTAACCGAGTTATTTTAGAGAAAATGCTTAGGACAATACCCAGAACACATAGCCAGCCCTATACAGTTTTTATTATCATTGCTCTAAGTCAAATACCTCTAGAGGTCTGGGTCATAAACACAAAATAGAAGAAGGCATTGTTCCTGCACAGTGGTAGTAATATGAGAACCCAGGGRCAGACATGGGGTGGAACTTCCTATATCTGTGGGTTCCCATTGGCTCAGGAACAGGACTAGAAGGCAGTACCCAAACCTAGCCAGACCAGGGACTGATGTCTATCGCCTGGTGTCCTTCCCGGCCTCTCTTGGAAATGTCCCACAGAGTGGAAGAGCCTTGGACAGATAAGGTCTCCGCTACCCCAGCCCTGGGTCCTCTGCCTTCCCTCAAAGCTGCTTTTCAGTCCTCATCGACTCTGATTAATAATCCTCATGCCAAAGCTTCATTAAGATATCAATTAATTTGCATCCGTTCATTTCAAGAGAAACACGGACTGGTTCCCCTTCTGTTTGTGTCTGAGATGAGTGCTCGGGGCTTTCCGTGTAGAGACTGTCATTAGACTCTTTATTGTTAATGGGAATATCGAGCACAAGAAGATGGTGCATTAATACTTTCCACAAAGAATGTCATGATTGGTGACAAAGAACACGAGGAACAATTAAGGAGACAAGAGTACCTTTTTTTTTTTCTTCCAAAAAAGAAAATCTTCCTAGAAACCGTCAATGATTCTAAAATTTGCCCTGAATATCTTTTTTGTTTTAAGAAAGAAAAGGAGCCGGCAAGTTCCTGTTTCTCTTTCATTCAGTGCCCTCAACCTTTGGCAGCTGTAAATGCAACCAATTCCGGGGCGAATTGAAAGGACCTCTAAGGGGTCATTATTCTGTCTACTTTTCTATAGGGTTGAATTTTTCCATAATTGGAGTTGGWTTTTTTTTTCCAAGGACCTCTAAGTACGTTTGGTGAATAAGATAAAGGTGGGGGGGGGGGAACCCAATAAACAGGGCGATGATGATAGCTCCCTGCTTTCTTGAAATGTGGTCAGTGTGTGCCAGCATCCTTGTGTRTGAGTGACAGGTCCCACTCCTGAGTGATTTCAGTCAAGTCGCTTGACTTCTCTGAGACTGTGGCTTCTCCTCTGGAAAACCGACACAAATCCTCACTCCTCAGGGCAGAGATGAGCAAAGGAAATTACATAAGCAAAGGAAGCCTTCCTCAAGAGGTACATTAGCCTGATTCTTAATCAATCCAGCAGCGAATCCTGTCGAAATCTAAATATGTATAAATAATTATGGAATGTAATTTTTTTATGTATACTCAGAACCCCACTAATGATAGCAAACAGAATAAATGATGTTTACAGGACCACAAGGGAGCCAAAGAGCCGTGGCCCTTCAGGG